TCCCAACAGTATTAAATATATTATGATTTATTTTTTTGCGAATTTTAAATGATATGACAAAGTTTGATTATTAAGACGTTTAAAAGAATAAAATCTTAACCTCATTTTTTCAATCTATAAATTCTCAAAGTACTGAGTAAAATAAAAAGAACTAACTGCTTTATCTTTTTTTAACGTTAGTAATAATATAAAAACATACAACCTTTATTTTTACTAATATCTGTTTAGATAGTAAAATTTTGCTGTATTCATTAAGTACTTTAGCAAAATTGTTATTTATGCAATGCCTTTTATTTTTTTCTAAATTTCTATATCTGTGTATTAGTACAAATTTAAATAAAACATAATTAAATAGTATAATTGTAATATTGATACTTTGTAAAATTAAATGAATGTAATTTTGCAAAAGAAAAATTGCATAACCGGCGTTAAAATAGGTTGTTTACATTTTTTTTGCATTTTTGTTTTTTTATTTTTATTAATAATTTATTAATATTTAGTTTCTTTAAAACAAGTATTAAAAGAATATATGGAATCAAGTGCAGAATAGCATTTCAACTTTTCTTTACCCCACATTCTTATTTAAAAATTACCGATGCTATACGTGTACACTTGTAATTGTAAAATACAGTTTAATGTTTTATAAGCTTTGTGGAAAAAATGAAGCCGTAAAGGAACATTGTAAAATTTAGAAAATAATTTTGCAACAACAAAGTTATGATAGAAAATAAACATAAATAATTGACTTTTATATTAAAAATTGTGATTTAAACATCAGAAATATACTTTTTTAATTTAATTAAAATCATCATTTTACTGTGAACTCATGAATTGTGAAAAATATATAAAACCACTTTTTATTAATAAACTCTTAAATTATATAAAAACAAAATAAAATAAAAAGTTTATTGTTAAAAAATAAAAACCAGCAAAAGATTAAAACCACCAGGCAACCAAAAACTTTACTGTAAAAATAAAACATCAATTGTGCGCTTACACGCAAGCATACCTTTACGGCCTTGCTTATAGGAGAATAAAGCATTTCCTTAGGAAAGTCTTAAATTATATATACTTTTTTTATTTTTAAAAATAATAAAATATTTTTTTATACATGAAGCTCTATATTTAAAAATTAAAATATTTTAAGTTTTTGTACTAGATAAAAAATTATTGGATTTTACAAAGTAAACAGTCATCTTAATGCTTATTATTGACTAAATATAATTAAAAAACTAGGAATTAATTAATTTGCTTTAAAATTTTTTCTAAATAAAAATTTAAAAAATTAAGAATGTATAAACTACAGCAATATAAAGCAACAAAATATAACTAAATAAAATTTTTTAATTAAAATTAAATTTTATATAATAATTTCAAATTTATCTAAAAGCGTAGTTAAGTTACTTAGATTTTCTGCATAATCATGTATTTGGCTTTTTAAACCATTAAGATGTCTTCTTAATAGATAATCTGTTGAATAAGGTATTTGTAACTCTTCATATAGCTCGCTTTCAATCAAGTAAAGCATTTTATTAAATTCAATGCTTTCAGAAATGTTCTTGGCTATTACTTTTAGAAATCGCATATTATCAATAAATTTTACACATAAAAAACTATGATTTTTAACACAAACTTTAAAATCTTGTATGTAAATCAAAACTTGAACAATAAAATTTAAGTTAATTTCTATAATCATATACTTATGATTTGATATTTTTTGCTTTTTCATTTCATTTAAAATTCCTGGAATTGTACGTGAGATTAGCTTCGATTCAATTTTGTGCCTGTCATAAAAGGTAAGCTTAATTTTTTTAACAACCAAACTGTCTTCAAAAGAAATTTTTGTTGTATCTACGGCGTATAAATTATTAAATTGTAAATCTTTTTTTGCTTGCGACAAAGTTAACATAATTTTTTTTCGAGCTGAAAGTAAATTCAAAAGTTCTTGTTCTATGTCAATATTCGTGCTATTACTATTTGATTTTTGCGAAAGATTATTATCCAGAACATATGCTAAACTACCGTTTCTATCTGCATGGATAGTTCGATTTGGACTGTAAAAAAAAAATTATCATCTTGTACAGTATTCAGTGCATGCGTGTTATTTTTTTCCTCTACAAATTGTGTTTGAGTACAACCATCAACAGTATTAGACTTATTTTTAAAAGTTAAGTCTAACGGTAAATCTGTAGAACTTATATTAAAAACATTTTCGGCCTGATAATTTATAGAACCATTGTTAGTAAAATCAAAACTTTTACAAAACTTGTCATACAAATACGAATTTTACAACTTTAAAAATGCTTTATTTTTTCATTTATCACAATAACATTTCGTGTATCTTTAAAATCAGAATGCTTATTTGAAAAATCTAGATCGCAATTATGTAAATCATAAATTAAAAAACTACTTTCCCTGTTTTTCAACTTTTTACTAAAATTTTTTCCGTTTTCATCAGAAAAAGTTTTGCGCTTATAACTTGTAGAATAATCTAAAATATTAGTGTTTTCCCTTGTACTAACAGAAGATAAGCTTACTTTCTTAACTAGTAAGATGATGTAACTGAAAATTAATTTATGGGAGAAATCAAAAAATTTTATGATATCCTTTTTTAAATCATAACAAATCATTACAAAATTGAGATTTATATAAGACTGCAAAATTTTAATATTAAATTGTCACATTTTCTTTTATAAATAATTCTAATGAAGATAAGATAAATTGAAAATATTTATTCTTCTTATTTTTCATAATCTTTGTGATTGAGGTTTTTTATATTTTTAAATTGATGAGCGTGACATCTATTAGATATTCCATTTTTTGTCCGACCGATAGTTTGACATGTAGATGTGATAAAAATAACGAATTAAGAATTTTTTTAGATTAAAAATGTGATCGGATTAAATTTTATAAATAAATAACTTAGTTCATAATTTATTACAATTTATAAATTTAAATAAAAAGTTGTTAAAATAAATATTTTGAACAAAATTCGTTGTGTTGTAAAATACCGATCAAAATTTTAATTAAAGCTAGAAAGATTATAAAAATATTTACTGGCTTTAAAAATAATTAAAAAAGTTCTGTTGTGTTAAATAAGACCAAAAAATTGTTGCAATTATTTAATATAAAAAAATTTTATACTTGTTGAGATTTAGACATTTCTTATTGCTTTAACCACCGGCCTTAAGACCATGGCGAAGTAAAAATGCATTTTAGTTGTATTATATTTCAAAATTGTGTCATTACACTCTTAAAACTTAGTATGATTTAAAATGCTATTTTTAAGTTAAATCTTGAAAAATGTCAACTAAATTTAAATGCTTGTGTTGTAAATTTTCGAATTGGCTAACCAGAACTTGATTTTTTCGGTCAATATAGGCAAAATTTTTTGAATTCTTGAGTTAATTTTATTTGGTTTACAGAGACCATGTAAGGAAATATTTTGATTTAAATTGCCATTAAATTTAAAAACTTTAATGTACATTATATACTCTTAAATGTATTTATTTATAGCGTATTTAAATAAATTGTAAAACGAAAAAATAAAATTTTATATTGTTGTGTATAATAAAAAATCACTAAAATTTTTTTTAATTAAGCAAAGACTTATGTCGAAATGTTTCCAAACTTTTATGCATTTTAATATGATAAAATTTTTACTTTCATATAAAAAATTGTTATTGAACAATTGTTCTTTTGTTGCAGATTTTGATCTTTTATATTTAAGCTTAACTATTTCATTTACAGAGAATAAGTTTATTATTAGAGCAAGGAATCTTGAAAAATAATTCAAGGCTATTACTTTTTAAACATAACATATACTTTTGATAAGTAAATCAAAATCTTGTTTGTATTTGTTAAAAATATTCTGTACCAAAAACCCAGCACTAACTTTTAAAAATATATTGGTTATACAAAAAACTCAGCAATAACTTCAAAACGTATTTTGTTTTAAAATAAAAAATGTTCAGATTCAAACTTTTTATATATAGATAGATGATATTTAATTTTTTTTAACCCATCGAAATTACAAAAAAAGATTATATTTTTCAATAAATCATAAACTTAAAATATTTTCAATAACTGTAATACCGCAGAAACCTTTATATATTATGTATAATATTTTATAAAATTTATCCCCGATTATGAAACGTTCTTACATGTTATAAATTTTTACGGTATTATTTATTGATCTTTTTCAATTTTTGTTTTTTATCCAGGCCTTGCAGTTCGAACTTAGCATTTAGAAGGTGAGTTGTATTGAAATGTTAATCTTATACGTTCATGTGATAAAATGACTGTGGTACTTTAATGTAAACTCAAAGTATAAATTACCATTCGTCGCTTCTACAAATTGAAGAAAAAAGATTGTTAAACATGACAAATAATTTAATCTTACTTTGCAAAGTCTTCTTTCCTGAAAAAATTTAATAGTATTTAAGTCTTAAGTTTACCAAAATTTTTTAAAA